ATAACTGATTCGATAATTATCAAAGTCATATGTTCCCTTGTTTTTATTGTTTACATCAGTACATTTCCATAACTCAAATAGACTTCTATTGATCGAATAGGTATTTATCTTAAACTTATTGTCATTAATTATACAAATAATCTCATTAATTATTTCCTAAAAATATTACAGTATGAAATTCAAAGAAGCATCATAGACGATTGAAATGGATAGTATCATTTTATAATGTAATCGTTCGGATTATCTACTTGTTAAATTTGAACTTACAATGAGAATCAGGATAAATATAAAAATTTTAATAATAATAATAAGTATGAGATTATTATAACACTTTTTCTTTTTTTTTTTTTCTTTTCTTTTAAAATGTATATATTAAATAATGTGAATCTTCGTATTACATTTATTTTCGAGATAATTAATTGAGATAATATCAGTATTTGAAAGTCATCGTTTTTTTATACAAAGAATGTAATTATAATAAAAATCTTGATTTTAAAAATAAGAAAAATTTTCATTTTACGTATACATACACATACAAATAGCCTTACTTATAAAAGATTAATTAGCATACGTATAAATTGGCAAAGAAATTAACTATTATTTCAAATATAATATAATGATACTTATAAGATTACTATTTAAGTTTCTCTGAATAAGAATCTCATGTCTTTTCATTATCAATATTTCATGGGTATCATTAAATCTCTAAGCAATCCAAACAAATTATTCGATTAATTAATTAATGTTATAAGATATACTATCTAGCATTCGTTAACGAATTTTGTTTATACATCCAATTCGTACATCGAAAACAAGCTATTCGTTAAAAATTTATTATCAGATGAAAAACGTTCACCATTATACGGATTCAATCGAATCCTAGCTGAAAATAAATAAGATACAGCTATAGCGTACCGACTTTATTAATATCGGAAATTGTTTCTTTCTTTGTAATACGATTATATCGTTGAAAAACTCTTATTTCAATAAACTCGACCGCAGTTTTATATTCAACAATCATAACATAATATTGCATCGCTGGAATGTAACTTTCTAAAATCCGTTCGACTTTTCAATCTTTTCCGCAAGCAATCAATCTGAAAGGAACTTTCAACAGAAAAAAAATTCCAATTAATCGCCTCAAATCCATTAAGTCGCTGATGCATGTTACATACAATAGAATACTCGTAAATATTATTATACCAAAGAAACAAAAGTAAAAATACATGATAAAAATCATCCACTTAAAAAAGAAAAAGAAAAGAAGAAAACAGAAAAACAAATAAATGCAAATCTATTATCTCTAACGTCAAAAAGAACAGATAAAACGTAAAATAATAAAGCTAAAATTTGTATATTTTTTCTTTTTTTTTCTTGATTATTAAAAAAAATATTTTTTTTTTAATAAGAAAAAAGACACGAAATATAAAACCATATGAAAAAAAGAGAAAAAGAAAAAAAAATTCAAAAAAAGAAACGAAAAGAAAAAAGCAAATTAGAAGAGAATGGAAAAGACATAAATCGAAGTAGGAAAAGAAGAAGAATAAATAAGGGATGAAATTTATTTAACGCTTCGCTGAATCAACTGGCGTTAACGCCGAAGAGTGCCATAGGAAGCAAATTTTGAGTCGTATCGCTCGATATATCTTTCAGCTAGTGCCGAGACAGTGGCTATCAGTCACGAAACCCTCGTCTATTCCATCCTAACCACCCCACAACCACCCTATCGTTCCACCTCTTATCCTTGATACTCATCCACCTACCCATCTGGTTCCAGTACAATTTTATGGATCATCAATCACCGATGCAACGCCAATCCAACGTTAACGCAAAACCTTTTCCGAAAAGACGCTAGTAGGAAAACATCCGGGCGAATTATTGGGGAAACTGCGATCGCATTGTCGGACCTTTTCTCTGCATCGAGGTTTCAAAAATAAAAGAAGGAGAGAGAGAGAGAGAGAGAGAGAGAGAGAGAGAGAGAAAGAGTGAAAGAAAGAGAGAAAAAGAAAGAGAGAGACGTATAATTTATTTCCATGAGTTTTGACAAATTATTCTAGGTCCTAGTACCAAAAGAATTACAAGATAGTAGAAAAAAATGTAAAATAAAAATAAAATACACGGTACAAAGTAGTACATATATATATATATATATATATATATATATATATATATATATATTACTATATATATATACATATATACAGAGTGTTTCAAAATATACACATATACCTATATATAAAGTGTTTCAAAATATGTGGACATAACTTCTCGGGTGGTTTCAGTACACTAAAATAAAGAAAAAAGTTCATATAACCGTATACCCGATATAATCTTGTTTCCGAATTGTAGCTGTTCCTGTCTTCCAGTAATTCATATAACTTTACTGACTTCTTCCTTCAACTATTTATAAGATCAATTAGAACAGAATATTTAATTTTCACAATTTTCATCATTGATCATCTGACCTATCCGCATATTATTGCATGAAATTATTAATAACAATTTAGCATTAACATTTGGGCAGGAATAATTATTTTAAATAGGATATTAATTGAGACATTATTCATTTTTAAATGAAAATTTAAATAAATTATTGAAAGACGTATTTATATATATTTAGTAGAAAAATATAAAAAAGAAATAAAAAGAGAGAGAACATGTTCAAGATTTTTCAGAAACTAATTTCAAAATAATTTTTTCCACGCACATTTCGAATACTCTTTCAATGAAATGAGAAATCTCTGTCAAACATTATTTTTACTACATGACTATATATTCACAGATAAAAAAAAAGGAACTCTTGCAATATCAACGACAAATATCGTTTCTATATTATCTGTACTTCACACGTATACGTACGTATGTTGTAGATATTATACGTATATACGTATAAAACGACAGAGAAAAATATAGATAAAATTCGTAATTGAAAATTCGACGAAACCATTTGCTTGTCGGGCTAAAAAAGTTCACAAGCACCTTCGGGCAACGTGGCGTGTAGATGGTAAATATATATAACATATTCGGAAGTCTAGTTCAAAAACGTTACCATAGCAATGTATTTCGATACTTTATATATTGTAGTTCTTTGAAGATAGTAGAGGTATCAGTACTTGTAGTTGTTGTTTCTCTGCGTGTATCGTACGATTCGCTCTATTCCTTCCTGGTATCTTGATCAAAGACTCTGAAACGATCTTTGCAATCGTCTACCCTTTTTATCCTTCATCGATAAGAAGAGGAACGTATCAAAAGTATCGAATGCATCGAATTTAGTTCAAAGGTTCTCTTCCACGAACATCGAAAATGTATATATTTTCTTTGCACACAAATTAATCCGATTTCGATATGTTAAACTTCACGTATCTTTTCCTTTTTGGATATTATGAATAACGGATTCTCCATTTAATATCTATAATATTAAAAGAAATGTAAATACAAATTTTGGAAAAACACGCCAACGGAAACGTTGGCATTTATCCTCTTCTAATCGTGATAGCGAGTCTCGCTAGACCGCTAACGAAATGTTTATCTTAAGTGGATATCGTTGATTGGATTCCCGATCGGATGTAATATTCCCTTTCCGAACGACCATGGATGGTTTTGAACGAATCGTAGAACGTTACTATTGTCCGATATCCGAAAAAATAAATGTTATAGTTCCGCGTTTTTTCGAAAATTCGCAGGAGATGTTCTACGAGCACTGGGCTTATCGAGCGGATGCAGCTGCCATCGATAGATATATATTTCTGGACAAATTCACCGTGATAGTAGATGAATTTCGAGCGAACTGCCCGTCCCAAGTCCCGTCGACGAGCTTGATCCAAATAACGCACGATTACTGTTAAATCCAACGACACGACAAATCAGTGCTAAAATCTCTAGCGATAAGTTGCTAAAAGAATACTTTCATCCGAACGATTGTAAATATATATACGTACACACACATATAATCTTTATAATAAAAAGAAACTGTTCGAAAGTTAACGATTCAAGGATAATTTATAAATGTAACTGTTAACACTTAATGTTAAAGATTATTAAATACAAGTAACTTACTTTTACGCATATCTATATTAAAAATAAACTAAAACGATACCTTCAGAAAAGCAAAGACATAAATATATAAAAGTGTCAAGGAAAGAAAATACGAAGAATAGAAATGAATGAAAAAACTATAAAATCGTTGAAAATTTCGGGATGGTATCTGGCTTACAGGACGTTTATAAGACAAATATCATTTTTATCGGAATTCGAGAAAATTCCACGGTGTGGCTTCGCGTGAATTATCGCGGCCGTACAAAGGTGCACACAGGATCGGACAGTGAAAAATGAGAGGACGTATTTGCAATATTCGATCAATAAGTTACACGGCTCATAGGTGGTGGTCGTTCAGCAGGAGGGCACCCTTTTGGATTGAACTCGGTTCGGCCGACACTCTGCGGCCACGACGGCGGCCGCATCGACGGCCACACGTAGTCCGTGTCAGGATTGTACGCTCGAATTTTATATCCCCGCAATGACCAGGCACGTTCCCTGTTCAACCTTCTTCTTTTCTTTTTCCTCTTTCTCTCTCTCTCTCTCTTTCTCTCTCTCTCTCTCTCTCTCTCTCTCTCTCTCTCTCTGTCTCTGTCTCTTTCTTTCTCTCTTTTCCTCTGTCTCTCTAACATACACGACACTCGAATCACTCGAACCAACTGATCGATAAAAAATTTTACTCTTTGCGGTCTCCCCTTTCAAAGAAATCACTCAGATCGTTCATCTCATCCTTTTTTTTTCTTTTCCTTCTAGAGAAGCATTTTAAAAATTGACTATCTTTTCTGAGATAAAAGGAATCGGTTTGCGCTCCTGTCCATGACAATCGAAAGAATTCGAAGATACTCGTGGAAAATAGAAAAATGATATTTTTATTATATAGCATGAATATTGAACGAAATCTAAATTTTCTCTCATCGTCTAATTTTGTTTTGTTTTTCTTTTTATTCATTTATTCTCGTTTTCAGAGGCACGTGCCAGGATAAATGGAACATCGGATATTTACGTCAAAACTGGAAGTCTATTGACACTGACCTGCCTCATGTCCCAAGGTCCTCATCATTTGGGAACAGTTGCTTGGTATCGTGGCAACCATGCTGTAGTTACGTCTCCACGATTAGAAAACGACGTCAACGCGGAGCCACGTATTACTGTTGAAACGGAATGGAGCGACGCTCTTACATCAAGGTAAAACTTTTTGTATCCTTTCATCCTCCTACGTTCGCCATTGAACAACCACCAACGACGAAACACCATATGATCGATCTTATATAGAGACCCGATTTTAATGATACTGTCGCTCTTTCTAATTGATACCCTCGGTAGTTAGTAATTATTGGTGCTGTGTTCACATTCTCTTGAAAGGATCGTTAAAGATTGCACCATATCATCACAAACAACAAATAATAATCCAACCTTTAAAAATGTTCTTTTATTAATAAAACAGACCCGATTGAATTTTATTTTTATGTCTAAAGGAAAAAAAAATTATATTAAAAACTTTGATATTCGTCAATAAACGTTTATATATCTATATATTAATAAGTTTGTCTTTGACTATGAACTGATAATTAATTTTGTCTCGAAAAAAAAGAAAGATGAAATAAAATAATACATATAAAAGTGTGTGATAAATGAATTATTTCAAAGTTACATGGCATTATTTTTCCACAGTAACTAGAATTCGAAAAAAAATTCAAATATAAAGAGGACGTTTCGAGATTTCCGTTTGACAAAATTCAAAAATCATGCGTCGTCTCTCACGAATATCTCGTCTATCTGGCTTAGTATTTCTGAAAAAAGATATACCTAACGGCGTAACGGAATTGCGCGGGAAAAAAGGATACGATACAAAGGGTCTTTCAATCGCGTCGACGTAAAATCCGCGACGGTAGAACGCGATAGGCGGTTTCTCGTATATCGTTCGACGGCTTTGCGATATGGGTTATAACTCTACTCGTAGATATCGCTGTGAGAGCGGGAAAAAAATGTTCCAATTTAAGAGCAACGCCAGGTATGCAGATGAAAATCAGTCACGGTGAAACGATCGAGCAATACGCGCATGCTCGTTGAAACGATATTTCATTCGATCTCGAAAATCGTGGCTTCGGGATAGATTAATTGCTCTCTCTCTCCCTCTCTCTCTCCCTCTCTCTCTCTCTCTCTCTCTCTCTCTCTCTCTCTCTCTCTCTCTCTCTCTCTCTCTGTCATGATACGTATGACAATTTCAATAACGCTAAAAACTATGCTTTAATATACATTTCTCACTTGTTTATTTTATTTTTCGTGAGATAATAGATCAGAGTATCAGGTATATAGATCTTTTAAAAAGATTTTTATAAATTCAAATGGCCGTGACTATAAATAATTATTAATATCTTAGAAATCTTTTAGCTTAGAATATTTCTGCGAGTATCAAACTAAAAAATACTCCAATAGAATTTTTATTTATTATTATTTAATAGAATTTCATAGAATTATGATTTATTATTATATATTACATTATTCCAAAATTAAATTTTTTTAGTTTTAACGACAATTTGTCTCATTGTATAACAAAAAAAGATGATCGTAAGTAAATATATGCTTACTTAAAATATAAGTGATATCAAATTAAAATAAATGATTAGAAGGATAAAAGATTATTAGATAATTCAGAGAGCACGCGTGCTATGAAACTGCTCGATGATACAGCTTGTATCTCTGGTATTAGTGAGAGAACAACGGTGTCCTTTGTCAGGTGCGTTGCGCACCGTGAAGATGCATCGGGCATGCTCTGCATTTTAGGTAACCTCTTGTTGAAGAGAGAACGAGAGCGAGAGAGAGAGAGAGAGGGGAAAGAGAGAGAGGTTAGCTCCTCTCGTCGTACACCCGAGCTAGATACTCTCTAGCTAGTTTCTCGCTTCTCTAGGCTAGAATATCGTTGGGCACATTACGACCGACCACGTTCCACATACGTAATACATACGTACGACATACATACGTATACGTTGTACATCTGTTTTTGGACGTGATTGACGATTGTCACGAGGCGCGATGCCGGTTACACGTGGACGAATTTACGAGCTCTTGTTCAAGAACAGAATTAATTTCCTCTCACTGTCTTTCTCTCTCTCATTCTCTCTCTCACTTTCTCTCTATCTCTATTTCTATCTCTATCTCTATCTCTATCTCTATCTTTATCAAAAAAAACAAACTTATATTTATTTTTCTTTTCGAATTAAATAAAAAAGATGAAGGAAAATAAATATTCTTTATTATTATTATATGATCGTGTTTGAATTTACGTTTTCTATTTTAAATATTATATTTCGAAAAAAACAAAAAGAGTCATTTTCGTTCTAAAATCTATTTCAAATATATCACGGTATCAATCTGTAACATATACAAACAATGTACAAAGAGCAAACGGTATAATCTGAAAAGATCGTTATTAGTCTCCAGAGAGTAATAGATTATAACACAATG